GCGCTGGGGCTGGTCCGGCACCCATAGGTGCTGGTCCGGCACCCAGTGCTCACCCTCGGGGGCACATCACTCCCTTGGCCTTCTAGTTTTTGGGGTTCCCCCCCCCCGGTTCACCCCCGGGAGGAGGCTGGCACGGCCTGGCTTGCGCTGGCAGTCGCCCTAAGTGGGTGTTTTGGGACCCCCAGGCCAGGGTGGCCGTTTGCATCCTCCGAGCAGCCCCAGCGTGCGCTTTTTTGGGGGCCAAGGCCTGCAGAAATGGGTAAAACTCTCCTTTAAAGTTTCTTTGAAAGGTTTTTGCCTCCAGGTCCAGGTGCCCCCCCAGGCAGAGCATCAGCCCCACAGCTCCGGCCACTAGCGAATTCCTACGCTTGGAGCCAGCCCTGATGTGATGTGGTGTCCCGGGGGGGGTCCCACTGTGATTAAAGCCAGGGGAGTATTTTTAGCTCCCCCCCCCCCCCAAAATCCCCAGCAGCGTTTGCAGGAAGGACGAAGGTGGCGGGGTGCCTTCGTCCCCCTCCTCCCGCCTGGAATAAAGGCGGTTTCCAGCTGGTCCCGTGGCTTTTGCCAACTCCTCTTAGCGAAGGAATGGCTTTGAAGGAGAGCCAGGGTTGGCGGGGAGCGCGGGGGCCCCAGGTGCCGGAGCTGCCGGGATCCCCGGGGGCAGCGGGATGGGCGTCCCCAAGCTGGAAATCTGGGGACGCACCGTTGGAGCATCCCGATCCCCGCCAGCACGTGCTGACCGCTGCCATGGATCTTCCTCTCAGCCGGGAAGGGGGAGGCAGCTCCAGCCAGGAGGAAGCAGCAGGAATTTCGTTTGGCTGCTTGGGAGAGGCTGCGGTTAAGGGGGACGGGGATGGGGGAGAGGCGTGCCCCCGGAATGGTGGGGTTTGCTTATTAAACCTCCGTGGAGCAGGGCTGACAGCCGGGAGTCATCGCTGCCGTTGTGCAGGACATGGGGGGCATGGGGCTGAGCACCCCATCCCACCCGAGGCAGCGGGGAACCCTTGTGGGGGCCGAACCGCTGCCAGGCCTTCCGCATCCCCATGCTCCAGCACGAGGGGAAGAGGGAAATCCACCCAAAAAAGCCCCAGCCCCCTGCCGCCCTCTGAGCCCTGATGGGGCAATAGCATCAGGCAAGGGAAATAAACAGCGGCACTTTTGGGGAGGGCTGGGGAGCAGGACAGACTCCCTGCAACCAAACCGAGCCTTGGTCTTCCCCATCACCACCCCAGATCCTGGGTGATGGCTTGGTGGGCGAGAGGGAGTGAGGGTTCCTGGTCTTGCTCCAGCGGCTGCTGGGTGGGAAGGGGTGACCATGTCCCGCCAGGTCCCCGAGACGGCACTGCCACCTTTGAGGCATGACTGCATGCACCCATCTCGGAGCTGGGCCCAAATCGGAGTGACAGGAGTGACATCAGTGAGCAGGGCAAGGGCCAGAAGCTGGTGCTCGCCATCAAGGAAACATACCGGTGTTGGCTGGAGCTGCTCAGTGCCTCAGTTTCCCTCCTGGGATTAAAGAGGGTTCTCCCCTCCCAGGGGGCTCGTGGGACGTCGGGGTCCTTGGGGCTGCTGCAGAGGCAGCACCCGAGGTCTCTGGAGTGGGCTGGAAGGGTCGGATCCAGCCCTTGGTGGTTGGGGCTGGGTGGTGTGTACATGTCACAAGGGACGGGGCACCTCCCGGCTGGGGCAGGGTGACATGGTAGAGGCTGCCGGCGTGTTCAGTGGCAGAGCTGGCAGCCGGGCTCCCAGCTCACCCCGTCACCGTGTAAATAATACCACGTCCCTGCCACGTGCTGCCCTTTGCACCCAGGGCAGTGCCGCATCCTACTCCCGGCTCGGCAGCGCTGCCACCGCTCCGGCCCCTGGCACCCGCGGCGGCTCCTTCACCAGGCGGCACGAGCCGGCGGCGGGGGGGGGGGGGGGGAAGAATGGCCCCCATTGAGCACCCTGCCGGGGGCGGGCGGGGGGTGGCAGTGGCTGCTCGGGGTCCCCAGTCTGCGAGCCTGGGTGGCTGCAGTGCAGGTGCAGATCCATCCCTCCCTCCCTCCATCCCCACAGGGAATCCCTCCTGCTCCCATTCCTGCTGTGCTGATGTCCTCAGCTTCCCCCGACCGGGAGCCCTCATCCCTGAGCTGGGCCAGGGGGTGACGGGTGCTGTGGGGGGCTCCAGACATCGCTGCCTCCTGCTCCGGAGGGCTGTCCCCATGCAGCCAAGGCCCATGTCCCTGGCAGCCAGCTTGGTACGTCGGGGATATCAGTGATGCCTGCAGCTGGGACAGCTCTGTGCAGTGATTTCCTCTGCATTTGACACCCTGGTGCTCGGCTCTGCCTGCCCCATCCTTGCCGATCAGCTCGTGGACCCCTTTCTGAAAGCCCCCGTGACTGTCCCCAGATTGTCCCCGATCCCTGCGTTCAGCCTCCTGCGGCTGTGAGCTGTCACTGGGGTGGGCTGCCCCATCCTGGGCACTCGGAGCAGCTTCTTCCCCCACTTGCATGGTGATGCATCCAGAGCATCTCATGCTGCCTCAGTTTCCCCTTCCTGAGGCTATGCCAGGTTTGCAAGCCTGGAGAGTCCAGTTGTCCAGCCTTGGCATCCCCCTCTGAGGCACGGGATGCTTCTGCCCCAGCCTGCGGCTCCAGAGAGCCTGGGGCACCCAGATTTGGTGCAGAGAGCGGGCATGGGGGCCTTTGGGGCACCCCAACATCCTCCCTGTTGCAAGTGCATTGCAAGACCCCTCTGGGCAGGGGGTTTGGCTCCCACCTCCACCCTGGTCCCCTCCCAGCCGGCTCATCCCAGCCAAAGCTCGTCCGCAGCATCCCTTCCAAGGAGGAGGGCCTTGAAGAGCAGCACCAAAGCCAGGCTGACCCCGCTGTCAGGAAATCGGCCTTGACATCAGCCCGAAAACCTTCGGCAAGAGCTCGAGCAAGAAAGCCAGCCTCTTTATTGTAATTCCTCCGCGGTTTCATCCCTCGCCCTTCTTGCGTTCACGCCCTCTAAATATTTCCAGCCTGTTATCATGCCTCTGGTACCTGCAGCCAAGCCGCCCTTAACCCTTTCCTGATGGCTGGGGCCGGCGTGTGTTCGGCTACGATGCTCTGCGGGCAGGTTGGCGTTGGGGTTGAGTTTGCCCTGGTGCTCGGTGGGGGCAAATGGGGGCTGCCTGGGTAGGGAGGGATGGAGCGAGGATGGAGGGGGATCAGGCTGGGGATGGGGAATTCTCCAAGAGAGCGCAGGATGCGGCTGGTGGAGGCTGCGGGGAGGTTCACGGTGCTGGGAGCCACAGCCAAGACCCTGCATGAGCTGGGGGGGTTGTGGAAAGCCGCATCCCTGGTTGTGGGATTTATGTGATTTAGGTCCCTGTCGGGCATTGGAGGGAGGTGGGTCCCGGTTTTGGCTCTGCCATGGACCCCTTCGGGGAGCTGGGCGCCCTTGAAGGTCTCTCCCACCGTGCCTGGCCCCGAGCCGTGGGGACGTGTGCTGGGGTGGTGGGGATGGGTTGGTGTGTTTGTGCTACATGACGCTTCATCCCCTCCTTGGTTGAAGCAGCCCCTGCGGGAGCCAGAGAGGCATTTTCCGTGGTTGCTGGAAGCTGCTGGGATCCAAAGAGATGCTGGGCATGCTGGCTGAGCCTCTCATCTCCTGCTACTGTCTTGCTCGAACCCAGCCTCTCTGGGGGCAGCCAAAGCCCTGCCTGGCAGCCAAAGCCTCGGGGACCACAGGCCTGGCAGGGGACCGACTGGACGCTGAGGCTCTGGTGTCCCCGGGATGCCTCCAGCTCCTCTCCCAGCCCTGGGAGCTTGGCCACTGCCCCGCACATCTGCATGGCAGAGCAGCCGCCTTTCCAAGGGCCAGCTGGGCTGGGGGGAGCGGCGGCCATGCTTGGCAGGGCTAACGAGCTCCGTTTGTTTTCTTTCTTCGCTTTCGCAGAGCCTGGATGGGGACCAAGCCATACTCCAGAGGATCAGAAAATATGTGAAAGCCATTCACATCTCTGGGCTCAGTGAGTTGTGCTTCGAGAGCTGATGGGCATCCCTGGGCCACCGGCCTGGCAGGATCTGTGACGGTCCCATCCTCCACCAATGCTGGTCACGTCTGTCCGTGGTGTGATGCAGCTGGACGGTGGGGTGGCCATGGGTGCTGGCCAGTCTGGGGGTATGTGGGTGCTTGCAGCTAGCCAGCCTGGCAACGTGATAGGGTGCCAAAAACTGTCTTAAAAAGATGCAAGAAGAGAAATTGAGAACCTTGGAGAGGTTGTTTAGGACAGACCACTGCTGTCCTGCAGCAGGATCAGCCCAGCTTTGCTCTGGAGGGCTGGAGAGATGGGTGCTGGGTGCTGGTGGGACCTCATGATGTGACCAGCTCCAGGGATGGGGTGCTGCAGGGTCACCCCGTGTCCCTCACTGGTGTCTCCCTGTGCAGCCCACGTGGAGAACGAGGAGCAGTACAGCGAAGCCCTGGAGAACTTCGGCAACAACCACCTCTCCCAGAACAACCACGAGCTGTCCACCGGCTTCCTCAACCTGGCTGTCTTCACCCGCGAGGTCACCGCACTCTTCAAGAACCTGGTGAGCTGCCCCGCATCCTCCCGGCACACTGCTGAGATCGGGGGGAGGCTTTCACCACCCGGTGGGGTTCACGGTGTCTCCGGTGCAGCCTCAGGCTGTTCTCTGCATCCGGCTATTGCCAAGCTGGGGAAAATCTCCAGGATCCATCTAGATTTGGAAAAACCACTCAGTGCAGCCCGCCTCCTCCCAGTTTAGGCACCCCCGCTGCGGGCAGCAATCCCCAGCTCCCACCCCAGGCTCAGGGACATGCTCCTGGTGCTCCAGGACCATCTGATACCCCCATTGCTGGATTTACAGCCCATTGCCAGCTCCGCCAGGGACGCCAACGCTGGGATTTGATGGGCGGTTGGGGCTGCTATTTTCTTTTTTCCTTTTCTTTCTTTTTCTATTTTTTTCTCACATCAATTGCATCTCTGATCTCGCTTGCCAAGAAGTAAATCAAAGCCACGCTGAGCTGCGCAGTGGGGCCTTGGGGAGCCGTGGCCGCGCGGGAAGCAGGCAGGCAGGCAGGCAGAGGCGGCTGCGAGCCGAGCCGGCAGCGCCTTCCCAACTACGGGAATGGCTCTGGTGGAGAAGTCAGTTCCTGGAGGAAGCTGGGTCTGTGCACGCCCAGCGGCGAAGCCCTGGGGGGGTCCCATGCTGCTGGCCTCCTCTGGTCCCTTTTGAATCCCCCCTCTAAGGGGTGTTTTTGGCTGCTGGCTCTGCTTAAGGAGGAGATATATTTCTGCTGCCCTTCCCCCAGGAAGAATTTCAGATTTCGGCGTCTTCCTCTCCCAGTTACCCCAGTCTGGGCCTCCCTGCTCCTCCCCTTCCCCATCCCAGCTGTCCCAGCCCAGCCAGACCCCCGCGCTCTGGGGGGGGCTCTGCGGGAACCGTACTGGTGGAAGAGTGGGACCAGTTCCCGGGCAAGGGCAGTGCTGGCCCCCCACCTCCTGCCCCACGTGCTGCCGGCGTGGGAACAGCCACTGCCGTCTACCCCCTGGATTATGTGCCAGAACCCTTGACCAGATCCGAAAAGCCAGGTTTGCCCTCCCAGAGTCCCCCCGGAGCTCTCAGAATCAGGGTGCCCCATCTCCCTGGAGCTCTCAGAAGTGGGGTGCCCTGTCCCCCCTTGTTCAGGGTTGGTCCCGTGCCCTGGAGCTGGGTTTCTCCCCTTATGCTGTAGGGGACAAAACACCTTGGGAGCCTTTAAAAGAAATCTGGGTGCAGCCAGGAGGTCCCGCATGGGTGCTGGAGTTGCTCTCGTAGCACTAAAACGGGGTGCTGCCCTGTGGGGTGCATGGAGGGACGCCAGGACTGGAGCAGGCTCCTGTGTCCCCACTGCAGACCCCAGCATGGTGCTGGTGGGGACGGCGGTGGCTGCATTGCTGTCGCTAAACCCCAGGAAAGGGGGACATTTTGGGAAGCCCTTTTGACATCGGGGGGGTGTGCTCTTTGCATCATGAGGCCATGGAGGGGCTGGTAGCATCCCTGGGTGCTGTGCCATGGGGGGACGGGGACAGGGCCGGGGTGGCGATGGGGAGGAACAGCTTTGGTTTTGGCAGCCGCGGTGCTGATGTGGTTTGTGGGAAGGGCCCTGCGTCAGACATCTTGCAGCCAGCTCCGACAAGCCCCAGCCTGCCCCGTGCCTGGATCTGGCCCCACTTTCAGCCTCTTTAACCCTTCATGGGGCAGCGACGGAGCCGGGGGGTGGGGGGGCACCCCCAACGCTGGGAAGGACCTGGGGCTCTGGCTCCTCGACCTACCCTGAGGTGGGGACCTCCATGGGGTAACCCCATCTCTACCTTTTGCAGGTGCAGAACCTGAATAACATCGTCTCCTTCCCCCTGGACAGCCTGTTGAAGGGGCAACTGAAGGACGGCCGCCTGGTGAGTCCCCTCCAGCACTGTCCCCAAGGCTCTGAGACTGCAGGTCACCCATTTGGGGACATGTTGCAGCAAGACCCCTGTTAGGGGCTCAGCTTGTGCCCACGGCCAGGAGAAGGAAGGAGCAAATCCCTGGGGCTGGAGGGCAGCAGCGAGGGCTGGAAGGGACTGGAGCAGGGGGTGAAGATCCGGTGGGGATGTCCCTTGTCCTTGAGGGGCAGGGTGAAGCAATGCAAAGCCCTCGGCCATGGGATGCTGCTTTCAGTGCCAGCAGGTCTTTTGCCTTCCCTGACGGCTGCCATCCCCTCTCTCCTTTTGCTGCAGGACTCTAAGAAGCAGATCGAAAAGGCCTGGAAGGATTACGAGACCAAAGTGTAAGGAACCCGCTGCCTCTGGCAAAATCCGCCTAATCCCGCTCTGCACAAAGATGTTTTGTCCCGGGGCTGCACCCGGGCACCGATTGATGCCAGTTTGCCATTGGGAGGGCTCCAGTCTAGCCTTTCCCAGCTAGAGGGGCTGGAGATATTTCTCCTGATCCCATCCCCACCATAGCTCACTGCATGGGACAGCCCTCGGGGCAAGGCTGTCCCCAACCTGCCGATGTCCTGTCCCGCAGGGGGAAGATGGAGAAGGAGAAGGAGCGAGCCCGCTTGGCAGGGGTCATCCAGGCTGAACCGTCCACAGCGGAGGTGGCCGAGGACATGCAGAAGGAGCGGCGGCTCTTCCAGCTTCACATGTGTGAGGTAGGGGCTGTGCCGGGGGGGACAGAGACTGTTTGGCCCCCGGGGGGACATAGGGGCCCACTCTACTCAAATGTGCATGGGGACGTCAGAGCCTGTTCCCGTCCCCACCATTAAAGCAGCCCCATGTGGGTGCTGTGTGGGACCTTTGGCTGTCCCCATCCCATCATGTCCCTGCATGGTCCTGGCTCAGGGATCCCCACCCCATCCCCAAGTTGGGGTCCCCATGGGATGCGGCTGTGAATGGCACCCACGGGTCACCCTGCAGCAAAGTGCCTGGGGGTTCTACCCGTGTCCTCCCCGCTCCTACCCCTCATCTGGAAAGCCAGAGGCTGGTGTTTGGGGTGACAAGTGAGCCTTTTGGATAACATCCCTGAGGCTGGCTTTGCTGTTGTGCCCTATTCTCAAAACTGCTCTTGGTTTTGGTTAGGGGGGCTCATGAGCAGCCCCAGATCCCTGATGGTCCTGGGGGTCCGCTCTTAGGAGGTGAGATGTGAATAGGTGAAGGATGGAGACCTGATGTTAGAACCCCCCCCAGCAAAGAGGGGACCCAGGTGTTCTGGCTCCAGACACCCCAGCAGCCCCATAAACCTCTTGAGAGTGACACAGAGCAGGGACCAAGTCCCCAGTGGGTTGTCCCAGGGGTCTCCAACATCCCCAAGGACCAGACAACAGCGTCGGAGCCTGGTGCAGCCCTGTGTGTCCCGTCGTCCCCCCGGCAAAGGGCAGGGGGTGCGGGAAGGAGGCTGTGCCTGTCGCAGTGGGACTGGGGCTGGGCATGGGGCCGGGGAGCTGGGACCCGGCCAGATGAGTCACTCCCTTGAATAGCACCACTGTGAAATAAATAACAGCACATGGAAACGCGGGAGCTGCAGCCCGGCCGGGGAGGGGCCGCTGCCGGCAACCCTGCAAAGAGCGGCTGCGTGTGAGCGGGCACACGTGCACGCGTGTGTGTGCTGGCGTGCACGAGAGCTGCTGCTTTCCTGGGGAGCCTGCCTGGAAATGGGGGGGCAGCTCTTCTAGGGGGCTGGCCGGGGCTAGGGCGGGTGTGTTGCGTGTAGGTTTATAGGCGGATGGTATTTGCTGCTTCGTGGGGTGGGGGCACGATCTGATTTCACCCCAGGGGTGATGTGTGGGGTGGTTGCATCTCCCCTTCGTGGGCCATCTCACACCCCCAGGGACCGTGGGGTGGATGGGTGCAGCTGGGTCCAGACCCAGGCGGTGCTGGAGCATCCCTTTGCTCATGGGTCTCAGCCAGTGCTGGCTGGGACCCTCCCTGCCACCGTCACCCCAGGATGTGGGTGGCAGGGCAGGGAAGTCCCACGGGAGCTGGGCACACGTGGTCTTTTTCAGCTGAGACTTTGTTCAGGGGGTGCAGTCCGTGCCAGGCACCCCAGGGCTCCGGGTTGGATGCTGCGTTAGCTTTACGTCTCCAGCTTGCACGGAATGATTTAACAACCCTTCCCAGTCCAGGTGACACCTTACTTGGCAGGGGTGCCCAGGGCACCGGGAGGCTCCATCCCGGGGGCTGTAGCCCGCCACGGTGCTTCCCCACCATGGAAAGTCCCCGGAGCTCAGGGCTGCCTTCCCCTCCCCTCGCCTCCCGCTCGAAACCATCTTCCAGCAGCTGCGCTGGCCTGGAGAGGAGCTCGCAGGGGGAAATCTCTTCCCCCCCCTTACTTTGCTCGGGGTGAGCAAGGCTCTGGGTCTTTTCTTTTCTGCTAGCAGCTGATGGATGGGTTTGATGCATAAAGCTGAAATTCCCCATCCCGCGGGACACATCCACGAGGACTGCAGACCTCCGGGGCTGATGTGCCGCAGGCGCTTGTTGCTTGAAATCTGATTTTTTGGGAGCAAAGGGGTCATGTCTTAAAAAACATTTGGGCTATTTCTTCTTTTTTTTTTTTTCTTTGTGAGCTGCCTTGAGTTTTGGTTATTTATTAACTCCAGAAGTAATGAGCAGCAGGAGAAGCATGCTCGGCTGGAAACCCCGGGGGCCTGCTTCGGTCCTTGAACTTTTCAGGGCTTGGAGGACTTCCAGAGCCAGGTTTTCTGAGGGTGGTCCCCAGCGAGCTGCCTTCAAATCCAACGTCGTGACTCGACTTCTTGAAACCCAGCCAGCATTTTAACCCTCCTCCCTTGCGCTGGGAAGGGAGGCAAGGGCTGGGCAGGCTCTTGCTCTTTCCTCTGGGATATTTCCAGCCAGTCCTCATCTCCATCACCTAACTGTGTGTCTTCTCCTCCTCCAGTACCTGCTGAAAGCCAGCGAGTCTCAGATGAAGCAGGGACCAGATTTCCTGCAGAGCCTCATCAAGTTTTTCCACGCTCAGCACAAGTAGGTGCTGCCCAGGTCAAGGTGGTTTGTCCCCAGGGTCGGTCGTCACCCCTGGGAGGTCCCACGAGGGTCTGGGGGCATCTTCTCCCATCCCAGCTCCATAAAGCTGTTGGTGAAGATGCTGGGCAGAGCCTGTCGCTCTTTGGTTGCATCTGAGGAGTTGAAACGTGCTTTGTTGGCTCAAGGAGCTGCAAACGTGTCCGTGGGGGCTGGGGGAAGGGGGTTGGCTCGGGATATATCCGATGATTTGGTTTCTGGGTAGATTTCCAGGGATGAGTTCAGCCGAGCGGCTTCGCTGTTAGCCATGGGGCTCGTAGCGAGGGTGTTTGGAGCAAGGATTAACATCCCCTTGCCTTCCCCATTGCAATATGAGGCTGGAGTAGCAGCGTGTGGGTGTCATGTCGTCATCTCCAGCTCTCGAGTGAGGAAACTGAGGCAGGGAGGGGACAGTCGTGTTGGCTAAGAGCGTGCCCTTGACTGGGGCTGTGACCCAGAGACCTGAGGATCTGGCCTCCAGCAGGGCTGGTCCCCAGCAAAATGAGCTTGGATTGAACCAGAGGCCAATCCTGTATCCCAAACACCCCAAATATTTGGGGTATCTGGACACCCTGGGCTGGGCTTGGCCTTTGGTGGGGTCTCTCCAGGTCCCAGTAGCAGTGGAACCACAAAGCAGGAGCAGCTTCCAAGGGGGGTTGCTATGGTCTCCTGCCACATTTTCTCTAAAAAACCTTTTTTTTTTTTTTTTTTTTTCCCCCCTCTATCCTCCCCATCTGCATCTTAATCATGTTAAATAAATGCCCAGTTTCTTCCAAGATGGCTGGAAGGCTGCCCAGAACCTCTACCCCTTCATTGAGAAGCTCGCTGTGTCTCTCCACGCGGTAAGTCCCCCAGCCTGCCATCCAACACCGCTCGGACGTGCCCCCCGAGATGCCACCCACCCTGTGCCAGCCCTTGAGAACGCCCGCATTCAGCGCAGCAGTGAGGGCAGCTGCCTCCCTTTCCAGCTCCACCAAGCGCAAGAAGAGGAGGTGAAGCAGCTCACGCAGACCCGTGATTCCCTCCGCAGCATCCTGCAGCTGGAGAGCAAGGAGGTGAAACCTTGGGATGGGCAGAGGAGAGTTGGGAAGGAGGGTCGGAAGGGTGCTGGGTTCTAAGGAGGGGTGAGTGCCCCGGGGTTAACTTGAGGATGGGGAGCAGCAGGTAAAGGGGACCTGGGGACCAGAGGGGACATCCATGGGAGCAGAGCAGGAGACCTGGGAGATGCTCGGAGGCTGGGAGGGGACGGGGGGTCTCTGGCATTCTGCTGGGTGCTGCACCCACATAAGGATGAGGTCACTTGGTGGCAGCAACCACTTCTGTGCCTCTCACTTTGCTTTTTAAATGCTTTTTTTCCCCCGATGAGCTCAGGAAAACCTGAGCAGGAAGAACTCTGGCAGCGGCTACAGCATCCACCAGCACCAGGGGAACAAGCAGTATGGGACGGAGAAGTCGGGATTTCTGTACAAGAAGAGTGATGGGTGAGGATGAGTATTATTTGCCCAGAGAGCTCCCAGCTCCATCCTGGTGTTGCTGTGGGCTGGGAGAAAGTCATGCTTGTGGGAGGCTCCAGGGCTGGGACATCCAGAGGCAGAACTGTTTGGGTGAGGTTTTTGGTCACTGTTAGACGGGTCTACAGGTGCAATTGGTCCTGTCTGGTCTTAAGCATCTATCAATGCTTGGAGAATGGGATTTTTCCCCAGGCTGGAGGAGACCCGAGAGTTGGTGGTTAGGGGTTGGTGGGTCTCCAACTGCAGCTGCGGAAGGAGGAGGTTTGGAGGTGGTGCAGGGGACCTTCTCCCACGATGGTTTGGTGTCATCGGCCCATTTCTTATGTGAAGGCCCCCAGTAGGCTCTGATGCCCAGGGTGCTTCTCCCGCGATGCTCTCCTGGGTGACTGGCTGGGCACAGTGGTTGGTGCTGTGCGGGTGTAGTGTCCTTGGATGTAGGTCTCCAGGACCAGCCGCCCAGTGCCAAGTTCCCTGTGGAGAGCTGTGAGCTGTGTGGCTGATGGGAGAGGAAGAAAGTCTTTGTTTCTTGGGTGTAGAGGGAGAAACGATCCTGGTGGGATCATCTAGGGTGAAAAATAAAATCCTCAGAGCTGCAAAGAGGAGGTCTTCACCTTCTCAGTGGACCTCTGGGTGATGGGCACCAGGTTTTGAGTGGGTGTTTATGTGTTTTGCTGAACTGGGGCTACCAGATCTGTGATGCTGTTGGCCAGCACGGCCCATGGCCAGCCCACTCAGTGGGACATTTTGTGCTCTGTGAGTTGCAAGAAGCACAACCCCATGTCCAGAAAGCCATCAGGCCTCTGCCGAGGGCTTCCGTGGGCGCTTTGGGAGGCAGATGGATGTGGGCGATCAGGGATGTGCAACGTGTCCTCACTCCTCCTCTTCCTCCTCCTCAGGATCCGCAAAGTATGGCAGAAGAGGAAGTGTGGCGTGAAGTACGGCTGTCTGACCATCTCCCACAGCACGGTGAGGAGCAGCGGGGGGCCGCAGCCCTGACCCTTGAAGGCACTCTTTGAGCGTTGGCATCCACTAGAATTCAGGTTTAGTTTTGCCCAAAGTGGTCACCAATTTGCCCGGCTTAAAATTTAGTACGAGCTGGGACTCGACATATTAAATGGGGTCCCCCATGTTTGATAGGTATCACTGGGAGGGGATGGTGGGTTTGACTGGAGCAGCAAGATGAGCGTTGAGGTTCCAGACAAGACCAAAGGGGCTGGAGAGGGCTGGGAGGAGTGTGCTGCCCCCTGGCGGTGGAGGCTGCGAACTGCAGCGGGGACAGAAGATGCGACTCCGGGATGTCCCCGAGCCCCGTTCTCCTGCAAAAGGTCCCAGAGGGTCCCACTCGCTTGCTTATCCCAAAAGGGACCATCTGGGAATGGTGGTTGTCCCACTGGCATTGCCATCAGAGGTACGCGCTTGGTGATGCACGTCCCGACCTTTCCCAGTCCTTTAACCTGCCTCCATCCTCACACCCTGCAGATAAACCGTCCCCCCGTCAAGCTGAACCTCCTCACCTGCCAAGTGCGGCCCCACACCGAGGAGAAGAAATGCTTCGACCTGGTGACGCGTGAGTGCCCGGAGCGGGATGCCATGGCTGGGGTGGGTGTGTTTGACCCGGAGGTGGCCGAGCTGCGGATGGGAGCTCCCTTTCTGGAGAAGAACATCCCGAGTGGGTTTTCCCACTCCACAGCACCTGGGCAGCCTTTGCCCTTCTAATCTGGCTCTGGGCATCTCCCCAGCTGCCTTTACAGAGGAAGGACCGACCTCTCTAAGGAGATCTAGCAAGCTCAAGACAAAAAGAGGTTGTGACAGGGCTCGGGTGATGGAAGAGTGATGTGCAATGATTTAATTTTAAAGCAGCCCCTTTGGAGTAGTTTCAGCTCCTTCCTGCTGTCCTGGGCATCCCCAAATCCTCCCTCCTCACCTTCTCCCCCCTCTCCCCATCCCTGCAGACAACAGGACGTATCACTTCCAAGCAGAGGACGAGCAGGAGTGTGTTGTGTAAGTGCCGCAGCCCATCCCCACTCCTTGCGGTGCCGGATCCTGCTCTGCTTTCCCCGTCCTCCTCCTCCTTCCTCCTGACGGGGCTCCCCCCCCGCCCAGGTGGGTCTCGGTGCTGCAGAACAGCAAGGACGAAGCCCTGAGCAACGCCTTCAAGGGGGAGCCCAACGGCGGTGGGGCGGCAGCGGGCGGCGGGGCGGACGGCGGCGTGCAGGAGCTCACCAAGCTGGTCATCAGCGAGGTGAAGAACATGCCGGGAAACAAGCAGTGTTGTGACTGCGGGGCCCCGGGTAGGTCGGGGTTTGGCGTGTCCCCCTCCCCGGGTGCGGGTCGGGGACCTGGGAGGGGGGATTGCGGCATCCTGCGGGGCTGGGTGGTGATTCTGAGCCCCACGCTGCTCCCCTGGCAGACCCCACTTGGCTCTCCACCAACTTGGGCATCCTGACGTGCATCGAGTGCTCCGGCATCCATCGGGAGCTGGGCGTGCATTACTCCCGCATCCAGTCCCTCACCCTGGATGTCCTCAGCACCTCCGAGCTGCTGGTAAGCCGCTCCCCGAGCCCGGAGATCCTGTGGCCACTGGGAATCACCCTTTGCGGCTCCTAAACCTCCTGGGGCCAGAGTTCATCCCTCCTTCTTCATCCCATCTGTGCCCAGTTTGCTCCAGGGCTCACAAACTTGCCTCGGTTTCCCCAGTGGCAGTTTGCAGCCCCCAGTGCTGTGGTCTGGGCAAGTGGGGAGGGGGCTCTGCAAAGCCGCTTGCTAAGGGGGGGATGCTGGCAGCCCCCCAGGATTTGATCCCTTTTAAAACAGACTTTCCCTGCCATGAAAGAGCATCAGCCCCAGGGGAGATGCTGCTCTGGGAAGGTCCTGGGTGGATCCAGTGGATTCCTTCCCTCTGCCTCTGGGATGGGCATCTGGCTGGGGCAGGGCGAGCGTGGCCAAGAGGGCTCGTCTCCCCCCGTCCCTCTCTTGCTGCAGCTGGCTGTCAGCGTCGGGAACACCCGCTTTAACGAGATCATGGAGGCCATGCTGCCCACGCAGGACTGTCCCAAGCCCTCAGCCAGCAGCGATATGTGAGTTGGCCACTGGTCAGGGGTCTCGGGGTGGGCTAGGAGGAGGAGGAGCGCACGGTGCGTGGTCTGTCCTTGTCCCCATGCCACTGCCCATCGGCTCTGAGAGCCTGGGGATTGAGGCGGGGGACGATCCTGGTGTCATCGCCTGGATTTTGGTGGGGATCTACACCTTTTTTTGAGGTTTCCCCTGATCCCAAGGCTTCGGGAGGAGGCAGGAGCCCAGGGTTCCTCCAGCTGTGGTGGAGACTGGGCAGGGGGGGTCTGATCTCTGTGCCCATCCTAGCCGATGCCAAGCCACCCATCCCGCAGGGCTGCCCGCAAGGAGTACATCGTGGCCAAATACATGGAGCGACGCTACGTGCAGAAAAGCAGCCGTGACGACCCCCACCGGGTCTGGGAAGCCATTCGTGCCCGCGACCTCCTGGCCCTGCTCCAGGCCTTCGCCGAGGGGCACGATCTGGCCAAGCCCCTGGCCAGCCCCGAGGGCCAGGTGAGCCCTGCGCCGCCGCGGCCGCCCCGCTCCCTCTACCTGGCAGCGTAAATGGATTTTCCCCCTCTGGGTCCCACTGCTCAGGGTTTTCCTGGCCTTTGGGTGGAAATGTGCCCTTGGGAAGATGAGCATCCTCAGGTCCAGCTCTCACCTCCCCTCCATCCTGGGGGAGATGAAGCATCCTCAGGTCCAGCTCTCTTCTCCCCTCCATCTTGTGGGAGATGAAGCATCCTCAGGTTCAACTCTCCTCTCCCTTCCATCTCGTGGCAGGACCCGGGCGAGCTGGCGCTGCACATGGCCGTGCGCCACGCCGACAGATCGTCCCTTCCTCTGGTGGACTTCATCATCCAGAACGGGTGCGTCCCCAGGTGCTCGCCATGTCCCCTGCCTGCTTCCCCATGGAAGGACCGTATATGAGTGCGGGGGACTGATGCTTGTGTGCTCTTGAGCCTTGAATTTCTTGCCGGTGGCCCTGCGCAGGGGGACGCTGGACCGGGTGACGCAGGACGGGAACACGGCTTTGCACTACGGCGCGCTCTACAACCAGCCCAACTGCCTCAAGCTGCTCCTGAAGGGCAAAGCCGCCTTCACTATGGGTACGGGGTTGGGACGGAGGGTTTTGGGGCTCTCCGGTGGGAGCAGAGCGCCGAGGCTGTAACCTGGATCCGGCTCCTTTCGTCCCTCGGGCAGTGAACGCGGCAGGCGAGACGGCTTTGGACGTGGCGAGGAGGCTTAAGCACACCGAGTGTGAAGAACTGGTAGGTGGGATGGGGGAGATCCTTGGGCTGGCATGGAGGTGGGGGGCTCCCAGGACCTGTCCCCCCTGTGCTGAGTCCTCTCTGACCTGCCTTATCCCGCAGCTGGAGCAGGCACAGGCAGGGAAGCTCTCCCTGCAGATCCACGTTGACTACGACTGGGAGCCCCCCCAGGAGTTCCCCTACGACAGCGAGGACGAGCTGGAAGAGAAGGTACCCGCCGGATGGTGGGGGGGGACGGGACGGGACACCCCCATGTCCCCAGTGAGGGGGTGAGGGGGGGGTGTGGGGTGGATGCAGACCCTGGGGGGGTCTGGTGGCAGCAGGGCAGCCCTGGAGCCGGGTGTCTGCCCCCAGGTGAGCCCCCTCCAGCGCTCCTTCAAGGGCACGTCGCCGCTGGCCGCCAGCCCCCCGCCCGCCTGCCCCCAGACCCGCTGGAGCTGCATGGGGATGGACATCACCAACAAGACCTACGAGAGCATCCTGGTACCCTCGCGCCCCATGCCCCGCCGGGCCCACAGCGAGGAGATCCCCCCGCCGCTGCCCCTCAAAAACCCCACACGGGGTGGCTCCCGCCCCAAACCCAACCACAGCCCCACTGGTGAGTCGGGGCGTGGGGGGGGTCACCCATGGTGGGTCTGTCCCTTCACCCAGACATCAGGTTTATTATTCCCATCATGCGTCCCCCCCTCCAGAACGCCCTGAGCTTCCCCGGCAGGCGTCCGAGCCGCACTTCCCCGGGCTGGCGGAGGCTCCGGCATTGCGCAGCCTCCCCTCTGCCAGCAGCGCCGGTGCCCTGGACGGCATCGCTGGACCCCCAGCCCCTGGCACCCGCAGCCCCACTGAGAGCCGGCGGGCAGCGTACTGGGAGACCCGCTCAGAGACAGACAGCAGTGGCACCCGGCGGGGGCCAGAGCTGAGCCCCCCGCCTGGGCAGCCCCCGCCGGGTGGCATGGCCCCCGACATCCCCCCTGTCAAGTTCAGGTAGGGACAACCCTCCCCATCTTGGGGTGCACTGGGTGTTGGGGGGGGTCATTGCATGGTGCTGGCAGGTGGGCTTCAACCCCTGCCAGCCCCCAGTCCGGGCATGGGGAAGGGCAAATTGTCCCTGAGGGGTGTGGAGCAAAGGGGTCCCCCACCCTGAGCTGGAGTCCCCAGGGGAGCTGCTGCTGGCCCTGGGATGCAGGAGGGGACAAGGGCAGCCGTGGGGGTGCTGGATTGTCCCTGGAGAAGGTGCTGCAGATTATTTGGGGGCGATACCAAGACCCCCTACAAGTTATCAAATACTTTTTTTTCTCTTTTTGGAAATTGTGGTGGGATGGGCTCGTTTGAGGGAGGATGAGTGCTGGGGCCCTTCTCCATCAGCGCCTGGGGGTGGGACCCTGATCCCTTGGGGGACCTTGCAGGAAGGGGGACAGGGGAGAAGGCACCAGCAGAGAGGGGGTGACACTGTCCTCGCTGTCCCTGGCAGCTCGGAGAGCACCCGCTCATACCGACGCATCAGCGGCATGGTGGGCAAAGCGGGGTCGGCCATGTCCCCCCAGAGCCCAAGCGGCCCCGAGGACCCTGCTCAGGGCAAGGTGCCCCCTGTGCCCATGCCCAGGAGATTTGCTCCGGTAGGTGCCGTGACTCAGGGTGGTCTCAGAGGGGCTGCGATGGGGTGGTCACCCTTTGCATCCCCAAGCATTCCAGCTCCCCTTATCCTGGGGTAGCAGATGGAGGGATTGGGGATGTCACATCCCTGCACCTACCTTGGGGGGGGGTGTCTGTCACCCCCTCGCCCACCCGTTTGCAGGCCAAGGGGAGGCAGAAGCGGGTGAAGGCGGTGGCTGACTGCAAGGGGGATAAAGCACGGGAGCTGACCTTCTCCAAGGGAGAGGTGATCGTGGTGACGCGGGAGGAGGACGAGCAGAGCTGGGTGAGTGTCAGTGAGGCATGGATGGATGCTGGGGTCCCAACCCTGGTCCCTTCCCCCCCCACCCCTCCACCTAGTTCTCTTCTGGAGGAGGCTGGATGTTCATGGGGGGCATGGACAGGTGCCCCTTGCCCCATCTGTGCATGGAGGAGGGCTGCTGGGGGCTCCCACTGACATGTCACCATGGCTGTGCCTCTCTAAATCCCCCTGGGAATTGGGATATCAGCCCCAAAGCTTCTCCCCTTCCTGAGATGGGACTCCCACCCCCCTGACCCCCTCTCTCTGCACCCCCAGGTTGGCTTCATCGAGGGCGACGGCTCCCGCACGGGAGTCTTCCCAGCCAGCTTTGTCCACCTCTTGCAAGACTGACTGGGTGGCAGTGGTCCCTTTTATCCCTGTCCCCTCGGCCAGGACCCGAGGCAGCTCCCTGTCACCCGGCGAGGGCTTGGGTGCAGCCCCAGCCCCAGGGGCTCGGCAGAGCTGGGCCATGAAGGACGTGTGCCCGGGACCTTGGTGTGGGACCATCCAGCCCGGCTGGACACTGCCTTCCAAGGGGGCTCAGAGACCCTCCATTGGGAAGACCACCCACGGACGGCGGCTGCAGGGAGCTGAAGGGCTGCTGCCTGTCCTGCGGGTAGGGCAGAGAACAGACACACTCACTGCACTAGTGGGCTGAGGTTTCTGTGCTGGCCCCCGGTGTCCCTTGCTCCTGCGTCCCTCCCGTGGGCTCTGCCCATCCCCGTGGCTTTCTTCTCCCCTGTCTGCAAGGACTTGGAGATGGGGGATCTGCCCTCGGTACCCCCCGCCACCTCCTCTGCCAGGGAGCCATTGGACCCCCCCCCTCCCCAGCCTGGGGGGAGTGGGACTGGGCAGTGGCTGCGTACCCCCGTCCCCCTTCTCTACGCCAACTGTGAAGCCTTTGGGATGGGCAGGGGATGGGAAAGGGCTTTTATTGACCTCGCCTGGGGAGGCTGGATGGTCTCTGGCCCCCCCAGGCTGTGGGAGCTGCCTGGGCTGCTGGGGCTTGGGGATGCTTCAAAGCTTCCCCCCAAACTGGTAGCGAAATGACGTTCCCTGATTTTGGGAGTGGGGGGGGTTCAGGTGGCACCAGAGAGCCCCTGCCCCGTGGCCCTTGCCTGGGGTGGGTGCTGGATCACTGCCCCGGCCCTGGGGGTCTCTCAAGGGGATTTTGCAGCTTTTTCTGGGACCAATGTCCCCTTGTGCCGGTGTCCCTTGGGAGCCACCTGCCTCCATCCCCCCCGCCCCAAGTTACCCTCTCCTCCTTCTTGTTTTGTGCATCAAATGTTTCATCTCAAAAAACAGTAATTTTTTTAATGTTTTCTGTCTCTGGTTTCTAATAAAGCCATCGTTTTTGTAAGCGCCTGGGTGCATCTGGGGGGGACAGCGCCTGCCCTGGGGCTGCCAGTCCCTGTCCTGGGTGATGCTGGTGATGTGGCCCCGGAGGCTTTCGGGCACTGGGGTCTCTGTGACCTGCCGGTGCCCGCTGGGGATGTGACTCTGTGCTTTGGGGGTATCGTGCATGGGGAGTACTGTCTGGGGGGGGGACTGGGTGGGTGCACAAGGTTGGGTTTTGGGCAGCCAGGCTGCCGTCGAGCCCTGGTTTTCCTGTGCTGCCCAGCGTTGCATTCGCCTCTCCTGTGCCATGTGGGGCCAGGCTGGGGCACGGGCATCCTCCCTGCGCCCGGGGATGGAGCCAGCCCAGCCCAGAGCGGGGTGCTCACCCTATGGCCACCCCTGTAGGGTGGCGGAGCAGGGACAAGCGAGGGTGGCACACTTGCCATCACCCACCCAGCCCGACCGCCTGTACCGCTCGAGCCTGGGGACAGCATCGCCACCGTGGTACCCACCACTACTACCCATTCGGCCAGTGCTTGGGGGGGCTCCTGGTCCCCACGGCGGGCTGGCACGCTGTGTACCTGGTGCTCCTGGGGGGGCTCAGGAGAGCAAATGCTGGTGCAGCCTTAGCACCTGCCAGGCTTAAAAGGCTGCGGGAGGCGTTGGGGTGTCATTTGTTATCGCGACTTGTTCCCCCCGGGAACTCGCTGCTGCAGGACACCGGGTTTGGCAAGAGCAACCCCTGGGCGTGCAGATCTTGCACCGCGCCGCATCGCACCCGCGCCCATCGGGAATCCCTGGCTGAGCCATCCCGGCGGCAAAGCCACGTCTCAGGCCCTCTCCTTGCCAACACCAGGCTCCAGCCCTGATGCAAGCGGCTCCTCCGGCCCCTCGGCACCCATGGGCTCCTCTCCGGCCGGGACAGGCGTGCGTCCCGGTGCACCCCGGCACGCGCCTCCCCCCAGCTCCTGCAATCGTGGCCCTGCCCGGCACTCTTAGCTATATTTAGCCCTTCCCCGTGCTAGTTCGCCTGCCTGGCAGGAGTTTATAACTGGCCGGGACAGCCCCACCTCCTTTCTGCTTTCTCTCCCTTCCCTTCCCTTTCTTTTCCCTTTTTTTTCCCCCCCTTCTCTGCTCTTTTCCAGCCCAGCTGCCGCTTCCCACCCCTGCCCGAACCCCCATGCCGGCAGCACCCAGCTCTGCCCGCTGCCGCCTCGGTTTTGCTCCACCGACCGCCGAAGCCCGGCGAGCCGTGAGCCGCCGGCATGGGGCCTGCTGAGGAGCTGGTCCGGATTGCCAAGAAATTGGATAAGATGGTGGCCAGGAAGAGCACGGTAAGGTGGCTGAGCCCCTTGGGATGGATGTGCACGCGTGTGCGTGTTTGCACGCTCGTGCATGTTTGCACATGTGTGCATGCGTGTTTGGATGTTGCAGCGTGGCTTGGGACAGGGGAGGGAGGGAAAGAGGGGGGGGTTTCTCTTTAACCCCCCCGTTGCTCGCAGTCCCAGAGGACCTGAGCGGGTCCAGGCGGTGCTGAGCACCCACCGGTGCCACCAGCACCCCGGGGTGCTGCCTGTGCCACCCCAGCCCAGCCTCGCAACGTCGGAGCCAGCACCCAGGAGTATTTTATTTTAGCTCTAATTTGGGGCTCTCCTGCACCCCATTGCTCCTGGCTGTTGGGAGTTGGGAGCAAGACGGGGGGGGTCTGTCCCAGGGGTGGTCGCTCCCAGTACCCCTTGGTGGCGTGGGACCCCAGGCAAACGTGGGCGACAGGTGCTTGGCCACCAGCCCGGCCACCAACACCCGATCGGGTCCAGGGCCAGTGCCGTAGGCTCAGCCCCGAGCAAGGGAAAACTCCCCCGGGGGGGACCGGGCTGGGGGACACGACCCAGCCCCAGCCACAGCCCTGCCTGTTGCACAAGCCCGTGCAAGCGTGCAAATGGAGGGGTGGGGGCTCCAGGGTGGCTTTGGCGATGACGTGCTGCGGGGGGGAAGCCAGGATCTGGCCCTGCCACACTTTGCACCAGGCGAGGATCCATCTGGGGATCCTGGCCGTCTGGTTACGCATGGGCGAGCAGAGTTGAGCCTGGCCCTTAAAGTTAATATTTGACGATTTCCACCGGCCTTTGCCCCGATGAGGTACGGGCTCCCCAGTGCCGGGGGGGTGGGGGTGGGGAGGGAGCAGCACTGCCATCCCCCAGATCCGATATTTTTTTGGGATGCCAACACTTGGAACCGAACCATGGGAGCCACCCGGGCTCTCTTCCCTGCCGGGAATTACGCTGGGGTCAAGGGACTGATCCTGCCCAGCCCTCCTGTTCCACAGCCCCATGCCTGTGCTCTGGGGAGGGAAACAGAGTCAGGGTCCGGCCACAGCGTGGGGACATCCCCTGCACCCGTCGTACCCAGAGGGCCAGATCTGGCCCCTTATGGTGGGATGGGGGTCCAGCCCGGTGCAGGGCTGTGTCCCCTGTGGAGGGGGATACCTGGGAGCTGGCGTCTGCTACTGGGGCTCTAAAAATACCATGGAGGAGGAGGATGGCTCCGTGCCGGGGCTATGTTTAGCCCTGCAGCCGCTGCATGCCTAGGGTCGGGCTGAAACCCTGCGGGTGGGTGTCCCGCGGACCCTCACACCCCTGTATGGGGACACTCAAGTGTCCCCTGGCTGTCCCCAGCTCCTGGCAGCCCAGAGTTTCCTTATGGAGGGGTTTTCCCGAGCTTTAAGGGAAGGTCCTACTTCCCAGCCAGGAGACGTGACCCCGCGCCAGGATGATCCAGCAGGATTTGGGTTTGGGATTTTTCTATGAGTGCATCGCTGCGGAAGGTCAGGCATCCAGGGACTGACCCAGGGCTGCTTTGTGTCCCCTTGGCGTCCCCTCCCCAGCACTGCCTGGTGCTGGCAAGAGGAAAGGGGAGACGCAGGCTGCCTCAGTGCAGCCCCCCCCATTTCTCTCTGGCTCCTCAAGGGCCCCTGTGGCTTCTCCCCACCCTAGGAGGGGGCTCTGGATCTGCTCAAGTCCCTCACAGGCTACACCATGACCATCCAGCTGCTCCAGGTGAGGGGGTCTGGGGGGGGGGGCAGCAGTTGCTGGCAGGGGGACACCCCATGGGGTGGCTTGTCCTGTCCCCCCCGTGCCAACCGGCACATCCCTAAGGACACATCCCTGCCATGCATCCCCAGACCACGCGGATCGGGGTGGCCGTCAACTCGGTGCGGAAACACTGCTCGGACGAAGAGGTGGTGGCCTCGGCCAAAATCCTCATCAAGAACTGGAAGCGGCTGCTGGGTGAGCGATGCTGCGGGGAAGCAGGAACCCCCCCCCCAAAGCCCAAACCCTCCCTGGGCCATCCCGGCACCCCAAACCCCTGATGCTGTCCAGGGGAGGTCGGGGTGGGATCGGTCCCAAGCTGGGACGTGCAGGCTCCCATGCCTTGCAGCCACCATAACTGAGTCCTGGCAGGCAATGCACAGACTTGATGGATTTTCCAGGGGCTCATTTTTGCTCCGGGATGGAGTGGTATAAATCAGTGTGTGCCCCCCAAGGGCTGAGCATCCCCCCAACCATCCCCCCACCCTGGGATGCAGCTCCCCAGGTGCCCTGCACTGGTTTAGGCCATGCCTCTGACACCCAAATCCTTCCCCCAGAGCCCTCCACCACCCCGAAGAAGGAGAAGGACACGGATGGGGAGAAGGAGAAGGACACGGATGGGGAGAAGGAGAAGAAAGAGAAGGGGCTGGATTTTCCCAGCTGCCCCAACGAAGGGGCGAAGCACCCCAAGAGCTCAGCTGAGAAGCACAGGGAGAAGCACAAGGAGAGGTGGGGGCTCCTGCCCGCTGTTGGGGGGCACCAGCCGCATGGCCAAGGCATCGGTGGGGCCGATACGGGAACACCCTCTGCTCATTCCTTATGAGTTGTTTGGTTTATCCATATCTGCGGGTGCTGACAGCACAGCTGGAGAACCAAAGGGTGGTTGCCTGCAGCCACGGCAGCACCAGGGCAGCTTTCAGTGAGAGGAGGGAGAAAGGGCATTTTTTTTTTCTTTTCACTTCTTTAATGCTATTTATTCCCTAGGTGAGGGCTGTTTTAATGGTGCTTGTCTGATCCTGCCCCCCTCTCTCTGTCCCTAGGAAGCCCAGCAAGTCCAGCTCTCATGCCGTCACTCCCCGGGGCCACCCTGCCGACTCCGTCTCGGAGAGGTACCTGCCAAAGGGCACATCGACCCTTGTGCCGGGCTCTGCCAGGCACTGCCAGCTTGGGGGAGGCTTTGCTGGCAGCCTGGGGGCTGGTGGAGCTCAGGGATGAGTTGGCTGGGGATGGGGTGTGCGGATGGGCAGGCAGGATCTGGCTCACCAGATCATGCCAGGGGATGCTGGGACTGGGCTCGCTGAGAGCATCTCTCCCTTCCTTTGGGTTTCTGTGGTGAAGAGAGTCCAGTGATGGCCGGAGCCCCACTGCGTCCTCGAAGAAGTCACCTCTGGATGGCAAGAAAGAGAGGTGGGTGCCTGGGCTGGAGGCATTTGGGAGAGGTCAGACTCCAGCCCCTCGCCGGGCTGCGGCTGGGGGTCTGGACCCACCGCCTGGTCCCTATTGCTGCCTTCTGACACGGGGCTTGTCCTGCCAGGAGAGACTCTGCTGACTCAAGGTCCTCCACCACCTCGGCCGTCTCCTCTTCCTCCCCGCAGAAGAGACCGTCAGGGGAGAGGTAAGGAGGAGGTGTCCCTGGGCAGCCTGGGGATGCTTTGGGGATCCCCTTTGGGGATGCTCGGACCATGGGACCTGCATCCGGGGTGGGTAGAGGTGGCTGGGAGCACTGATCCTGCCATGGGCACTGGGACATTCCTCCTGGGTGCAAATCCTCCCACGGGGAGATTCCTGTTGGCTTCCAAGCGCTCACATTGATGTGCTGGTGCCCAAGGTCCTGCCACCAACCCCTGCCCCCTGCCCTGCCTGCCCCGTTTCTGGTGTCATTCCCACTGTCCCCTTCCATGCCACCCCCAGGAGATCCTCTGTGGGCACCAGCCCCTCGCCAGCTCCCACCGGCTCTCGGAGAAACTCCAGCGACAGCAAGGAGGAAAGGTAGGAGAGACCCATCCCACTGCCACGGGACCCCCGGCAGGTCCCCTGGGGCTGTGCCAGGACCCTGGTACCTGCCTGTCCTCCCCGTGCACCCCTGCAGAGCCAACAGCAGCAAGGCCAAACCGGAGACGCCGCGGACCCCCACCAGCCCCCCCTTCTCGCCCAGCCCCTGCCTCCTGGCCCCCTGCTATCTCACGGGGGACTCAGTGCGGGACAAGTGCATCGAGATGCTGACGGCCGCCCTCCGCATGGATGGTGAGCGGGTCTGGGGGGTGCTAGAGGCTAAACTGGGCTGTTTCTACTATGGAACGGCCCTAATAGGAGCAACCCTACAATAACAAGTGAGGGTCTGCGTCCTGGGGCACCTGCAGCCCCGCAACAGCAAACTCACCTTGGACTGGCAAATAAACTGCAGCTCTAGCTCATAGCTCCATGTTCAGCTCCAAAATGAAAGAAAAGGAGGTTGGTAGGGTGTCCAATAAGGGATTGGATGGGGTCTTCATAAGGAAGTTAATTCAGGGTTCAGGTTGGGTAAAACCAGGGCTTTTTGGAGATGGGGTGCATGGGACAAGTCTAGTGGGAGAGGTGAGATTTTTTGGGGGATTCCTTGGTGCACGGTGAGACCTGACTGGTTTCATGCCTAAGTAAGTCACCCCTCGGCCTCTCTGCCCTTTAGATGACTACAAGGAGTTTGGTGTCAACTGTGAGAAGATGGCATCGGAGATCGAAGACCATATCCTTTGGGGGGGCTGGAAGTCCCCAGGCTCCATCTGTTGGGGGACACATACATGGGCTCAAGAGCAGTGGTGGGGACAGGACAGAGGGTGGCAGGGACAAGGACAGGGTGACAGACGGGCTTTGCTGTCCCTGTTGCCTGCAGAGGGAGCCCAGACCTTGGTTAGAGGCTGATGCTGAGCAGAGCATCCCCATGGCACCTGCCTTAGTCCAAGGGTCTGTGTGTTCCCGCCCAAACCCCTCTGCTCAGGGACCTGCCTTCATTCCTGGGGAAATAAAAGCCAAGCCCAGCCAAAGTCTCTTTTTTGAGTCTGCTGTGGGTGCCGGTGTCTCCTGCCAGCCCTGGTCCTTTGCAGTGCCCGGGCTGTGCCACACTGGCAGGGATGGAGCCACCTCTGTTCACTCCCAGCTCAAGGCTTGGGGGTCTCCTGGCAGCCCCCCAAGACTGGGACCAGCCCCAAGATGGTTCCTCCTCCTGGGTATGCTTCGATTTTTGGCGCATCCCGAATTCTGGCCATGTGTGCCTGGGGCCTCGCAGGACCCCAAAGCTGCCACCTCAGCCTGCCTGCCTGCATCCATGCAGGCAGCCACCGGCTTTTTGGCCAGCCTGGGAGGAGGAGAGCGGGCTGAGTCCTCTGCACCATGAACTCATGTCCCAGCACAGGGCTTGGTGACGTTCCCTGTGCCCCGACAGCCTTTGGGTGTCACAGCAGGGAAATGCAAAGTTGTTTTCCTCTCCCCATCCCAAGCTGTGCTTCATCCTACTGAACCCAAGGAGGGGGAGACCCCCCCCCACGGTCCCCCAAGGAGATCGACCACCTCCACATGCACGTGGGCACTGGCCCTGATGGCAATCAACACCACTGAGTCCAGAGCAGCAGCAAGTGCCCACGGGGCTGGCAACCCCCTACCTTGCCTCCTTGATTCCTTGACGGACCCCACATATCTTCCAGGAGCTGAAGAGCACGGACATGAAGTATCGCAACCGGGTGCGGAGCAGGATCAGCAACCTGAAGGACCCCAAGAACCCCAGCCTGCGGAGGAACGTGCTGTGCGGGGCCATCGTGCCCAGCCTCATCGCCCGCATGACCGCCGAGGTGGGGAGCAGGGTGGGGGCACGGGGCTGGCTCTTGTGGACCACGTCCATGCTGCCTCTGTGGGGTCTGAGACCCCTCCCCACCCCCCCAGCCTCTGCTCGCGGAGGTTGTGCTGGTGCCCAAGGGCTGGCTGGGTCTTGGCTTGGTGGCATCCACACTGGGCTTGTCCCAGCATCTCCCTGTCCCACCCTGGTGCTGGGGAGCATCAGGCATAGGGAGAAAGCAAAGGGCACTGCCTGGTCCCCCCAGACCCTTGCAGCCCCCCAGCCCATCACAGAGCCGGGTGTGGGATGTCAGACTGGCAGGAGTCAGGGTTGAGGGTCCTCATTCCTCCCCCTCAACCGGTGTCCCCAAATCAAGCTCCTGGAGCGCAGCTCCCTCTGCGGGGAGCCAGGTCTCCGCAGGCAGCAGTTTAGGTTTGAGGATGGGGTGGTTTGTTTCATCTGGTTGGGCCTGAGCCCTCCAGAAAGCTCAGTGAGCGGTCCTGGTTCTGGAGAGGATGGGGAGGGTGCTGGACCACTGTGGCTTGCCCCCTGTGCCGTCTTGGCTGCGAGCCCCCGGGCAGAGCCGCGGCAGCACTGACCCTGCCGGGCTGGTGCTGGTGGCAGGAGATGGCCAGCGATGAGCTGAAGGAGCTGAGGAACGCCATGACCCAGGAGGCCATCCGGGAGCACCAGATGGCCAAGACGGGTGGCACCGTCACCGACCTCTTCCAGTGCGGCAAGTGCAAGAAGAAGAACTGCACGTACAACCAGGTCAGCCCTGCAAAGTCCCCAGGGCTCCCCCCTGTCCCCAGGGGACCCCGATTATGGGGAATGCCAGAGGGGTCTCTGCTGACCCAGCTGCCTGCTCCATCCTAGGTGCAGACGCGCAGCGCCGACGAGCCCATGACGACATTTGTGCTGTGCAACGAATGCGGAAACCGCTGGAAGGTCTGTGCCCAGCCAGGGGGGCTCCGGGCACCCCAACCCTTCCCCAGCCCGGGGGGATAGCAGAACCCCCTGAAACCATGCCGGGGGTGCTGGATGAGGACTCACCACCCACCTTGGGCTCTGCTTCTCCTGCAGTTCTGCTGATGGTGCCCAGTGACGGGGCTGGAGGGAACGTGGTGTGAGACGGGATGCTGTGACGGCCACATCGGGCAGCCGGCATGGGGAGGGAGGGTGATGGGGCAGTGTCGGTCCCTACACCCCGGCTCCCTGTTTCCTTGCACTGGGCTCCCTCAAATGTCCCGGGGAGCCAGGCTCTGGCAACAGGCGGGTTTGCTTGAGAAGACCCTAGTGAATTCAAGCGGTTCCTCCCTGTAAATACTTGCCTTTTGCTTGGGGTGTGCTGGGAGCCCACTGGGAACGGAGACATCTGTGGAAAGGGAGACTGGTCTGACCTGGGCAGCTTGCCCTTCCCTGGGGGAAACCTGGACTTGGATGATTTGGGGACAGGAGGGACGATACCCTGTGGACGTAGGGCTGTGCCACTGTCCTGGGGGCTGGGGGTGGGAAAGGGCCAGGTTTTAACCCAAACACCTTCTTCCTCACCTAAGGGCACGCAGTGGGAGGACATGGAGGGAGACAGGGTGGCTGCAAGGGGTTCGGATGCCGGTGGGATGCCACCGTGTTCCTCTGCTCTGTGACACGTGGACCATCCATCCTGGCTTGAGGGCACTGTCCCCCCAGGAAAGAAGAAGGGATGGGGGGAAAGGAGTGGGGAAAACCCATTCCGCTAGAGCAATAAAGGTGTGAACTGTCTCTGCGGCACAGACTGCTTTCTGAAGCGGGGTTGGGACCTGTGTCTCAGTTCACACTCCCTGCCGGCTCGAGCCTCTTGGTTCTCCAAGAACCCCCGCTCAGCTCCAGCATGTGTCTTGAATCCACCATCTTGAGATGTAACGGTAGCTTGATGCTCATCCATCACCTGCCTGGTGATTAAAGACCTTTAATTAAGGCCGGAGCAGCTCCCTGGCTGGGTCTGGATGCTGAAGGCTGTCCCATGGCAGGGCAGCACCTCCACTGACAGCCGGGAGGGTTTTCCAGGGAAGGGGCATTGGGGACCGACCGAGAGATGCACCTTTGGCTACAGAAGGTGCAGGATGGAGCCTCGTGGCACCGAGCCTGTCCCTTGCTGCCACCAGCCTCTCCCAGCGGCTCCGTTCAGAGGCAGCGAGATGTGACGGGGACACAGGTAAGGTCACGGTGACGGCAGGTGACAGGGGATGAGGGTCCTGCTCCTGCGCCTGCGCGAACCGATGGGCAGGACCGGAGGAGGACGGTGGAGCTGTTGGATTAATGGATCGTTAATTTTTTTATTCTTGGGCTGAGGTGTGAATTTTTTCCCCAGGCAGCGCTCAAGGCAGTTTGCACCCAGATTTGGGTGCTAACCCCTCAGTCTCTGGGGCTCTTGGCAGCCCAGGGAAGGGTCGGACACCCCTGAGCCCCCTGAGAGTGTGCTTTGGGCTGTGGTGCTTGTTAGCACGCCAAAGTGATTAATAAGCCTCCAAGGCAATTATTTACACTTGCAAAGTGCGTGTGGATGCAATTAAGGAATATAGTGGATTGTGGGGGATGAATAAAACATCAGCGTGACCTTGTGCGGCAAGGGGAGCGCAGGACGGGCAGCACCGCGCCAGCAGCGTGCAGGACCGGGGCTCACGTGCTGTCCCCAGGGTGCAACAGGGCACGTTTGGGTGGGACAAGGCTGAAACGGGGAGATTAGGACCTATATTTTTTGCAGTGCAGTCTGGTAAAGGTGTCTGAGCAATACTGGAGGGAGCCTGGCCCCGAACGCTTTGTGATGGAGCTCATGGCATCCCCGTGTGTCCATCTGTCCTGCAGGGCACATGTCCCCAGGGGAAACATCACTCCTCCACCCTACCTCCCACCAGGTCCCCTGAGAAATCCCAGCGGAGGAAAGGGAGCAGGGAAGGCAAACCGGAGAGCTGGGCACTGCTGAAGGCTCCCCTGCCATCCATGCAAGGCCCCCCAACACTCCGGGAGGGTTTTCGCACCCGCCTGGGGCCAAGGGAGTTCCTGGCCCTGAAGGATGCTCTGGCTCTGGGGGATGCAGGATCCGGCCCCCTGCGACACAGCTGGCGGGTGTCACTGGGGCAGGGACAGCGAGGGGGTCTCTGGCATCCAGCTGTTTCCAGGGGTTTAAATGGGCTCTGGGTGGCTCTTGGGGACACTGCCCCAAGCTGAGCTCCACGGGGAGGGCACAAACATCCCTGTGTGTGTGTGTGACAAAACCCCAGTTCCCAGATTTCCAGTCCCCAAACTGGGATGGCTGACAGCATTTGGGGTCTGGCTGAGCCCCCTGTGAGATCCTGCTGTCCCCTCCCCAGCTGTCAGCCCCATAGGTGCCATGTCCCCAGGGCTTTCCCCTCCCTCCTCCGCAGGTGACCATCCCCTCCTCCCCTCCGCATTCCCCAGCCTGGCAAGGAATGAGTACAGGCAAGAAACCTGGCAGCTGCCTGTCTTGCCAGCACTCAGCCCAGGAGCTCACTCTTGAACTTTGGGGGAAGTGGGCACTTCAATTCTGATTTTTCATCAGTCCTCAAGAGGCGTAGCCATGACTTCAAACAGCAAATGCTAATGCTGGTTCCTTCCCCTGCCCTTCTGCTGCCTGCACAGCCTCTGCAGGCAGGGAGGCTCAGCCGAGAGCCCTCAGGAGCTCCAGAGCTCCTTTGCAGCCCTGGGTTGAACTGAGCTCTTGGGAGTGGGTGGCCTGGCTCCACCTGGGGCTGTTCATGACCTTGCAATGATGGTGAGGCCTGTACAGTCCCTGCTAGGTGCATGGAGAGCCTGGAGGGCTCCCACGGTGGCTTTGCACACCCCCCAGCTCCAGGTTTGGGATGCTCTGAAGCTTCAGCAGAGGCTCCTGCCTCTTCCAGCCTGTCCCTGCCTTGCCCTGCGTGAGCCGCTGACTCCTCAATGTGATGGAGGAATTATTTGTAACGTACAACCTGCAATACTTCAAACAACCACCCCCCCCAGCCAGATCCCTGTGCCACCGCAGTGACAGGGGACAGCCACTGCTGGTGCCACCAGACTGCATCCCTTCTCCATGGCCTGCCCTCAGCCACCCCCAAGGGACACTGTCCCACAGATGCAGAATCCAGCACACAGACACCTGAGCATCCACATTTTGCTTTGCAATCCCAGCTTGCCCAGACTTCAAACCCCCAGCCCCCCAGCTCGCCCGCATCGTGGGTCTTCGCCGCTGCCCTTCTCCCCCGCATTTTTTCCAGCCCTGACAAAAAAAAAAATCAGCGCTTTGCTGTTCAGCAGTTTCCTTGGCAACCTCATTTCCCCATCCTCTCACTCCATGCTTCGCTAACCCCCCCTGGCCCCGCTTGCTGGCCCCCCCAAAGCAGGATGGCGGGTCCCTGTCCACAGGGGTGGAGCGGGAGGGGGTGGGTCCTGACCCCCCTACTTCGGGAGGGCTGGTCTCGGGTGGACCCTCGGCCAGGGCTCACCATTGTCGTGGTTTAACCCCAGCCAGCAACTAAGCACCACGCAGCCGCTCACTCACTCCCCCCCCATCCAGTGGGATGGGGGAGAAAATCAGGAAAAAGAAGTAAAACTCCTGGGTTGAGATAAGAACGATTTAATAGAACAGAAAAGAAGAGACTAATAATGATAATGATAACACTAATAAAATGACAACAGTAGTAATAAAAGGATTGAAATGTACAAATGATGCGCAGGGCAATTGCTCACCACCCGCCGACCGACACCCAGCCAGTCCCCGAGCGGCGAATCCCTGCCCCCCCCACTTCCCAGTTCCTAAACTAGATGGGACATCCCATGGTATGGAATACCCTGTTGGCCAGTTTGGGTCAGGTGCCCTGGCTGGGCATGAGAAGCTGAAAAATCCTTGACTCTAATCTAAACACTACTGAGCAACAACTGAAAACATCAGTGTTATCAACATTCTTCACACACTGAACTCAAAACACAGCACTGTACCAGCTGCTAGGAAGACAGCTAACTACATCCCAGCTGAAACCAGGACAACCATGTACCTGGGCTTCTTGGAAAGAGGATGGCACAGCTGGTGGGGAATTGTGTTGGAAATGAACCATATTAATGCAGTTCTGGAACTGGCCTTTACTCCTCAGTGTGGGTCCCCGTGCTCCCCCCGCCCTGGGCAGCAGGACCCACCCTCAGCACGGAGGAAAGGGTCAGGCCCCTCTGGACCCTCTCTGGGGTGATGCCATGGGCTGCATGGCTCCCCAGAAGGCTGGTGTGTTTTGGGGGCTACTTCTGGCCCATGGGAGCTGGATCTGCTCCTGGATCTGCCAATTAAACCCAATCCTGTGTATGCCTTGGGCTGTGGCATTGCACATCAGGATGGCTGAGCACACGTCCCTCGCCAGCAAAGCCTGGCACTGCCAGGTTTTCACTCCAGGGTGAGGAATTGGAGGGCAGCGGGTGACAGTGGGGCTCACACCGACCTCTCACCAAGCCCTGGGCTGGGGCATCCAGTGCGGTGCAGAGCACGCGGCGCTGGGCTCACCCGGCACCATCAGGGCTTGTGGGCGAGCCCTGGACATGGGACATGGCGGAGCCCTCGACTCAAGGATGCACCCAAAGAGCTGTGTTTGACGCGAGTCTGACCCTCGTTACGGCTGCCCCACAATTAGCCATCAGGTCCTGACATCCCCAGAGCCACCCCGCCGGCTCATGTGCCTTGCAGCAGCTGGAAACCCCAGTGATATTTATCTGTAACTTCATCAGCTGTTTTGTTTTCCCTCTCCTTAAAGGTCAGGAGGCTCTGCCTGATGTTCCCGCTGCAGAGCCATGGGGATTGCCCTCTCTGGGCACCAGCGCGGAGCAGCTTGTCCAAGTGACAACCTTACTCCTTACCCCAACATCATGGGAGCCATCCATGCACCCAACTTTTAGCCTTGTGGTATAATCCTGCTTCGTCCTCCTTAACTTCAGGGTTGCTTGAACTTGCGGTGGGGGAAGGAAATGTGCATTAAATGGATTAAACT